CGCACATTAAAGTGCTTGTTTTATACCCTTGTTTTAAAGTCCTAACCTGGTTATTAGAGTTTTGCACAGTCAAGGCAGTCAAGGGTTCAATGCCAGCCCACGCAGCCCTTTTTCCACAGAACCTGGCCAGTCACTCTGGCAATTGCCAACACCCTCTTCACTGGCTAATGCATGAAAAAAGGTGATTGTGCGAAACTGAAACACATTCGAGCCATCTTGAGATCCAAATATGTATCCTCCTCAGAAGGTCTTGACAACCCGCGAATTGAAGCAAGTGACCCATCAGACACGAAAAATGGGGTCAAATGCATTTAATACATATAGAGAGGTCCACAGATCGAGATGGTGATTCAAATCAGCTTCAGAAAACTGAAGCGTAGATCAGTAGATCTATCCTTGTGCGTTCTTTTTACACTTCCCATCTCAAATCCTGCCGGATCTCTTCTTTTTGACACCAAAGGAGCTTGAGCCCCATAGGGGCAACTGAACAGGTGCTGCAGGCAACAGCATTGCAAAGAAGCCAAGATCTACCAATATCTGAATGCCTTCCGCAAGGTACCTAGCAGCTCTAGCGTCCCCAAAACATGTCTAGATCTGCTCTGATGTAGCACCCAGAAGTACGGGCTGGTCCCTAAGTTGCTTGTTGGGGCTAGGGTTTTGAATGTTAAATCGTCATTTGCATCATCCCAAGAAAAAAAAACTTTTTTCCAGACTATGTACAGTGACAGGGATTCCATAACCCGTCATAATGTCATAATCTTCTTTGTCTCACAGAGATTTTATGATTTTTGCTTCTTGCTTCCTCTACTTCCTCTACCTTATTTTCTCATATTTTCTCCCCATCTTCCAAATTCCCTTTTGCAATCACTGTTGTCAGTAAAGGTGGAAGCTCCGGTGTCAATGGACAAGGGCACCACAGCAATCCATGGTGATCCATTTTACACCACTACATACAAGTTTTGCTTCATAATTGATTGAGCATATTTACTTAATTCCATCATTAAATCATCGTCTATTTACATATTTATGACTTTTTATGACTTCCTCTGGTTCAGGAAATGGAAAGGACCCACTGGAACTGTGGCAGCGGTGCCCCTGACCAAATCCACTCCTCGCGACAAAATTTGGCTCCCACCATGGGGAATTCAAAAGAACAGCTTTTGCATAGCATGTAGAAAATTTTGATCTGTATTGCAATATCGTATTAGTATGGCAGTATGGGTATTTCCTGATGTAAAGCACTGCCAGGACTTTACCGCAACAATAGGCGAGGAGGTTGTACATTGCTCACTGCAAATCATAGCCCTGATGGCCTCACGATTCCTCAGACGTCGCAGTGTCGCAGTGTCGCATTGTCGCACTGTCGCACTGTGCCCAAGATTTGTTGTGTTCTCCAAGTCTCCAAAGTAACACTGCGAAGCATCGAGCATTGAGAAGATACACTTTCCGTCTCCGTCACTCTCCGTCACTGTTCCTATCCCAACTTGAGTCACTTCGTCTGCTGCGAGATTCTCTTTCAAACGCAACAAAGGTTTGTCCAGCTACGGGACTGAAACTCGGGAAAGCAAAACATGTGGGAGATTCCGTGTTGGGAAACATGTTGTGTGGGAAATGTTTGGAAATGTCAGGTATCAACCGGGAAGGTACAAGCGTAAGACAGCCCTGATAAAGGTAAAACACACGCACGCACACACAGACAGACCAAACAAAAAACACTCCATTTGGGGAAACAGTTTGGGAGGTAGTACCAAAGGATATCAAGAGATGTCAAAAGATCAGTGGAGATCAAGAAAAACAAGACACAACCTCGGGAGGTGCCATGCCTAGGGGGGAAAAACTGCAAAAACTCGAAACAGCTAAAATGTCTAAAATGGAGAAGGAAGGCAGGATGAGAGAAAAGATGAGAAAAGGAGATCAGGCATTGGACTGATGATCTGTGCTGGCAATGCATGTCCCGAAAGACTGTCACCTAATGTTCAATGCGATGTCATTAAGCTGCACGACGTTGTCAAATGAAGATTTCAACATTTTCAACCAAGAAACATGTTCAAAAAAGCGATCGTTTCGATCTCTCAATCTCTCCCACTTTCATTAGAGGATGCAATTTCATTAGATGCTTTAGATGCTTTGGGAAGGGACGCTGCCTGATGTCTCAACTCCAAGGTTCAACCAACTCATACTCGACAGTCGAGAGGTCATTACCGTCCTTGGCCTGCAAAATGAACACAGCTAAACTAAGCAAAACTCGGCACTCAGACGGATCCTGCGGTGAACAGCCAGACAGTGGCAGTTTGAAGAGTTTAAGAACAGTTTGAGAACAGTTTGAACCGACAGAAGTTCTTCAGAGGCGATGCAGGCGCCTCCCATTCCAGTGGCTCATCAGCGGGTTTAAAAGCAGCCCACCTACAGCAGTGCCATCAGATGCCATCAGTGCCCAAGGCTTAGTGCTTACTGATTTGGATCCCTCGATCCCTGGATCCCTCCGTTTCTTCGCTTGTGGTCACTTCGGTCATTTCCCAATGAGTCTGCCGCATTGTCAAGGCAACACTATGACAAGCTGCAGGTCAGCTTTCGGAGAGAGATTGAGGTGGGTCTACATTATGAGTCATTTTGATGCATAGGTTGCAGTGGTTCCTATGATTCTCATAAAGGCAGGTCAAATAGGTCGTACCTTGCCCGAGAGTACAACTACAAGGTCCCCCCCTTGCGCATTTACACTTGGACAAGGCACTTGTCCACCACGACACGGATGAAGCCCTTGACCATTCGAACAGAAGTGTTTTGGATCCTGCAGAATCACAGAGAATCACAGAAACCAAAAATCGGTATCCCTTGGAACATCTTGGAAGTCCCTATTGAAGCCATTTGAAGCCCCGAGTAAAATGCTCTCAGATCTCCAGATCCCGTGAGACGTCCTGATGGAAGCGCCCTTGGTGCAGACCTCACAGAGGTCCTTGTTGCGGAAGGACACCGTGAAGACGCCTTGGCCCAAACAACACGCCTTGCTGCGCAACTGCGAAACTCCTTTCGGACCTTTCGGACCTTTCGGACCGGTTCGGACCGGTTCGGACCTTGCTGATCTGAAATGATCTGAAGTGACACCTCTCCTGCATGCTGAAACCTAACTCGGCTGTGCTCAGCTGCTCACCAGATTCATCACCGACTTGAGCCTCATAAACACCTTCTGTGCCCTCAACCTGCGGAGACTTCTCAAAATGCTTCATAAGCATAAGACTAACGATTCCTAGAAAAAGAAAATGACACCTTTCTTGAATCCCTCCATCAAACCACATTGATTGCTATCCCAATAGACTACCTTGGCAACTTGTTTGGCAGCAAATGGCAATGAAGGTATAGTCAATAAATATGCATCCTAGATCAGCCTAGTCTGTTGCACGGCCTGTTCAGCTGGCTTGGTGCACTTGACCATGCAGTTGAAGCCCTGCCAGAAGTGTCAAGCTTGTGGAGTCAAGTTTTTGCTGTCAACTTCAAGTCTGTGTGGAATCTCCACTTTCGGAAGACAGAAAAGCAAGTCAAATGAAATGCGAGACCATGCGAGACCTTTTTGCGCAGTGGAAGCAATTCTTCACAAACTGCACACGAGTCTCAAGTAACTCTTACCCGACCGAAGTCTTCAAAGGGTTCACATAGCAGCTTGTTCAAACTGTCCATGATTGTTGCCGAGTGTTGCTGATTGTTGCTAGTGCTTGCTGCTCTTTTGTAGGCTTTGCCGTGTATTTTCAGGCTGCACATATGTTCACTCATCTTGTCTCCAAAGACGTCGGGATTTTGCCAGGGGATTTGGTATTCCTGGGATTTGGGCACGCAACGGGCATAGAGAAACCTCCCTGCTCCACGCAGAAAGCGGTCGGCATCTGCACTAACTGCCACCCCCGCCCAACTTGGGGTTTTCAAGGTGGGACTGGGTCCTTCGGGCGGCACTGCTTCCTCCAACGGGGATGTGGCACAAACACGGAATGAGAAGCCAAACTAGCTGTCCAACATTGTCCAACATTGTCCAACAATTAAACTTCTATCACTTTCACAACTTCGAGTGACTTGCAGTCACAACAGTCGCAACGTGACTCTTCAAACCTAGGGAATCTTGAACAGAAAGGAGAGCTTTCCTGTTGGGCACTGGTCTGTCGATGTCTGTCGGCGTTGGACACAAAGAATACCGACATCCCAAGCTATTTTCCAACCCCAGGAGACACCCTTCAAAGGATTGTGCGCAACACTTGTCTTTTGTTTACACATTATATAATCTTTCCTGAATTGCAACATGAGATAAGTCACTTGTGTTTCGGATCTCTCCCACTGGGAAGGCTCTCTGCTTTGCTATATACAAATATATACACGTGCATCAGTTTATATCAGGTATGAAGAGTCACAAGACACGCAAATGGCATTAGCATTGCACAAGAGTCGCAAGAGCATCATTGAAACATACCAGCAGATTCCTTGCGTTAGAGGCAGCAGGCCAGCGCCAGGAGCTTTTCAAAGCTTTAAATTCCAAGTCATTCGGAAGATCGGCCCGCCAAAAAGTTCCATCCGCATCGTCCTAACGACGATTTTACGTACGACATCTATGCGACCCCACACAACTGCTGACTCTTTTCATCCCCATAAGGCACGAGCCTATACGAAGTTCAAGTTGAGTCAAATTTAGTTTCAGTTTCATTTCCAAAAGAATCAAACTATTGTCATTCCCGTTCAAATTTCCAAGTGGAGTCGCTCGAACTCCTTTGGTGCTCTCCAAAGCACCGTCAAAATGGGCACAGCGGAGAGCGCGAGCCGCCGCTCGCAGCGGCGTGTTCTGCCCGGTCGCTGCGATTCGCAACGACAAAGAACGGGGCTGCCGAACGCCCTGCCGAACCCTCAATGTTAAAACTCAACAGAAAGTCGGAAGATCAACAATAGCAAATCACATATCATATGCATATATATATATACTCTATTTAATCTCAGATGTATAGTATCTTCCATTTCAATGAAAAAGCGTTGTCTTTTGAAGTTCGACACAGCGAAGCAAGCCGTGTTAGGTCCAAAGGACCTTTACTCTTCTGGCAATTGAAATTCTGTACGGTGCAAGACACATTGTCCTGGCATGCTTGGCATCGATATCTTCACTCGGTGGCACTGCGTGCACTGGACATGTCTATGCAAATTGGAAGCCTTCAGTGGGCAATGCATGCAAAAGCTTTTCATGCAGCTGCCCTTTTGAAGTGTACCTGGCCAAACAACAATTTCACAGGTTTTTCGCCATACAAAAACATCTTAAGGGACTTTTGTTCTGGCGCAGCGGCGCACTTGTGTAGAACCAGCTTGTTGATGCAGGTGTGCGCATGCGGTAAATGCTCTGGTGAGCCAGCATCGCTCACCTCCTCAGTCGGGTTAGCTGAGTCATGCTGAGTCCAGGTGCGAATCAAGCGTCTGGTGGCAATGCTTGTGGCAATGCACAATACAAATCTGTGAACTTGTGAAAAATAAACAAGCATACATATCATATATATATATATGTATGTATATATATATATACATACACGTATATACATATACATATATATACATATACGTATATATATATATATGTAATACATATATATATATGTATATATATATATGTATATATACGTATATATATATATGTATATGTATATACGTATATATATATATATACGTATATATATATATATGCTCTTAGAAACTGGTCGATGATTCGTCCAACGATTTGGTCACAAAAGGATTCAATCTCTTTGGGGGGGTGTGTATTGAGGCTTGAATTTGGTGAAGAGTTTTGCCCGTTCTGCTCAAAACCAATTTAGTGCTGAACGGAAATTCTGGTCCTCAATCGGTTTTGAGCCTGAAAATGTACCCAAAATGGATCGAGCTTGTCTAAGTCTTCAATTTCAGCCATTTGGGACAAGTCTTGGCAACTTCTATCGTCTCTACCACCTAGTCAGATCAGAGTGAGCTTGAAGAGAGATGCCAAACAGGGCCAAACAGGGCCAAACAGGGCCAAACAGGGCCAAACAGGGCCAAACATACCTAACCGATCCTAAGCGATTTTCTGATTTTCAGTTTGCCCTGCCGAGAGTCCACCGCGAAGTTTGGCTGTAACTCGGCGAAGCCGCCGGGCGGAACCCGTGAGGAGCCCGTGCAAAAGCGCAGGAGCAAACGGCGCTGCTCCTCGTTGAAGTCCTTCAAAACCTCCCAGAACCACAAGAGGACCAGACCTGGTGCAGCTGGCGCAGCTGGAAAAACCCTGGCGCTCCAACCGTAAAACGCTTGCAAAAGGTGCGTTCGGATACATTGGGGATCATTGGAATAGGATTTCAAATGGATTTCAAGAGTGTCAGTCTTCAAAGGCACCGTTTCAATGAAACCTCACGAAGCACAGAGTGGGTTGCGACTCTTGGTGAGTGAAAGCAAACGTCGAAGTACTTTAAACTCGAGCTTAAAGCACAGCCAGACTTCAGCCAGCATGCAAAGTGAAACAAAATGAACCTGAAGACATGCAAAATCTCAAACTGCATCCAGCAAAATCAGGATTCTGCCTCCAGAACCCTCCACCTCCTCAGTGTGGCGACGCCATTCCATCAAATCCTTGGCCATGAAGCCGTGTGGAAAGGGATATCTCCGAGAGCTCTCCAAAACAGTAAAAAGTGAGCGACTCTTCGGTCCAAGTAGCAAGGCTATGAGAGCCCATGAGCAGCATGGACAAGTCGCTAGCCTGACAGCGCCACGAAAGAATCTGTCGCTGAATAATCTGAAGATAAAGGCTGACATGTTTAACAAATGTTCGACATGTTCCATGTGTTTGTGGATGGTGCACATCAAAATGATTTCTAGCAATCAGACCTTGACGCAAGTTTACCCTCATGCCCAAAGTCCGTTGACATATACCCCAGGGAGGACACATCTTGATCTACGCATGACAAGACGAAACGTTGGACAACATGTTTGGCACCTGAGAAATACTTGAAATACTCAAAATACGCGAAATTGAAATCTGTTGAGCATATCTCAAGAACAAGTCGCAGATATCAAAAGCCAAAATCCGTGCTGATCGCTCAGACCTCCACACCGGCTTTCTGCAACGTTGCCAGCGGCAGAACATCCCAAAAGCCCTTCAGCAAGCACCTACACTGGAGAAATGGAGAGACATGGAGCGGACAAATAACTCGATTGATAAGGCAGGAAGAATATACCATCAGACCAAGAGTCAGATCAAGAATCATCAATGTTTCTCCATGTCACAATAAAGGGTGAACTCGTTCAGCGCAAGGCAAGGCGCTGGAGTTCTTCTCGCAATTCACTGCAAAGAAAAGCTTCACAAAGAAGCGTCAAGTATCTGCCGAGCGAAGTGAGCAACAAATCCAGCAATATATCAGGTAGAAAAGGTGAATGTTTTCCTCAGACTTCCAGAAATACTTTGCAGATCTTTGCAGCATGTTCGACCATGACTTCTCTGTCAGCCAGCTAATCTAGTTCCGTGAGGAGTGCAAAACAACTATATACAGTATTGGTTGAGGCGACCTTTGCTGCCCAACATGTTTCTGATTTCTACCTGCAGCTCCCAGTTCCCAACTGCCTGTCCAAATTGTCCTCAGTGACCACTTGCTCGGCTCCGCCGGGTTGAAGCTCCTGAAAATTGCATAATTGGTTGGTTTCCTATTATCCCGGCAAGAGACCCCAAACAGTGCGGGGGGGAGTAAAAGGATAATGTATTATTAATGCTGATGGTAATGTTAATTAATGCAGATGATGATGGTAACTAATGTTGTTGATGATGATGATGGTAATGATGGTGATGATGGTGATAATGATGAAGATGATGATGGTGACGGTGAGGATGAGGATGAGGATGAGGATGAGGATGATGATGGTGATGATGATGATGATGATGATGAGGATGAGGATGAGGATGAGGATGATGGTGATGAGGATGATGATGGTGACGGTGACGGTGCGGATGATGGTGGTGATGATGAAGATGATGATGGTGATGGTGATGATGATGATGAGGATGAGGATGAGGATGAGGATGAGGATGATGGTGACGGGATGGTGCGGATGATGGTGATGATGATTATGATGATGATGATGATGATGGTGATGGTGATGGTGATGGTGATGGTGATGGTGATGAGGATGAGGATGATGGTGATGGTGATGGTGATGGTGAGGATGATGGTGATGATCATGATCATGATCATGATCATGATCATGATGATGGTGGTGACAATGATGCTGATGATGATGATGATGATAATGATGATGATGATGATGATGAGGAGGAGGAGAATGAGGATGAGGATGAGGATGAGGATGTTGTTGATGTTGAGGAGGAGGAGGAGGAGGAGGAGGATGTTGAGGAGGAAGACCGATCCCAAGACCGGGAAGCACACTTTGTGCGAGCCTGCGCAGCCTGCGCAGTCGAAATGCAGACGGACATTGCACAAGAGCCAGTCTGTACCGTAAATTACAGGAAAAATGGCCGCGGACACCCGGGGACATCGTTTTGTGCGAGCCTGCGCAGTCAAAATGCAGACGGACATTGGACAAGAGCCAGTTTCTGTTTCTATGGAAATTTACAGGAAAAATGGCCGCGGACACCTCCGGGACATCGTTTTGTGCGAGCCTGCGCAGTCAAAATGCACATGGACATGTCACAAGAGGCATTTTTTGCGCAAATTTACAGGGAAAATGCCGGACGCTTCCGATACCACCTCGATTCAACACCGCCTACAGTAAGAACCCCTCAGTGTGGACACACTGTTTGGGGAACTAAAATCTGCTGAAAATGACCAAAGTTTTCCGAGAGAAATCTTACCCATGCCCAATTTACGCCTTGAAGTTCTCAACCCAATTTCCAGAATTTCCACCCTTCCCCTGTTTTGGCGACAAAAACACCCCGGATCCTCAGCGGGCCGTAGCTCTGTGGGCGCGGACCTATGAGCGAGAGCATTGTTTCAGTATCCAGTGCCGATCTTTGGAACATGAGATAACATGGAATAACAATACCAATACCAATACAATATCATTACAATATCTATCAATAACTCAGTGAGCCGGATGTTTGGAGACTGCTTTCCCTACCGGAAGTTCCCGGCACCGCTGCCAGCAGTTGGGCTCCCAGACACGAACGTCAGCGGCTCGCCCAGCGCGGCTTCGACCTCCGCGAGGCCTTCCGGCCGCAGCAGTGGCGCCACCTGAAACGAAAAACACCAAAGTGTTGGTGCCTCATGGAAAAACAACGATGATTGCAATGTAGATATTGTTTATTAACATGTAAATATATTATTTTAAGACATGTTTATAGAAGATACAGTATATGTAACAGCTATACGTATATGTAGTCAATGTAGTCTATCACCAGTCAAGAGGATCCGTGTCTCTTTGCTGGTCCTTGGTTGAGCTGAGCTGAGACAGCTGAGACAGCTGAGAGTCCGGCACGCTGTCGGTAAAAATCAGGATCTAAACATTTCACATCATCAAGGTCCACGGGCTTGCTCACCATGTACTTGCACACGAGCCTTATGACATATGTCGATGTATGTGGATTTATGTCGTATGAAAGCAAGTGCATTGCTGGCCTTCGGATGCTTCTTGCTTTAAAAGCTCTAGTAGAGTCAGTAGAGATTCCGGCATGTTCTAATGCTCTAAGAAATTCCAAGTCTTAGTAATACCCATCATATCCATCATATCCATGGCTGCCATGGGCCTTCGATGAACTTCGTTTCCGAGTCACGGTGAGAGGGGCAAGGGAAGCGGTCGTCCTCCATGCAGAACAGCCAGGGCCAAGAAGCGGCCCGCCAGGAGGAGATCTCGAAAGCGGCCTCCAAGGAGATACCAAGGAGATACCAAGGAGATACCAAGGAGATACCCCTGTCATCGAATATGATAATCTGATATAAATTATGATATAATGGTATAAAGATAATGGTATAATGATATACTGATGATATAATGATGCATCATTAAGCCACAAGTGGCAGACCATTGAGCCTTCTCTACCTTCAGCATCCTGTCCCACTGGGCGGGGAATCAGCATCCTGAGAACATCAAGGCTATGTTGCATCGAAAAAGACTCCAACTGAACTCGGCAAAATCTGCAACCCTACAATTCTCATTAATTCTCCACAAGCTGCAAATCTGATTGAAATAACGTCTCTTCTACGTCTCTTCCGATTTCGTGTCCTGCTGCTTTTGCCCATGGCGAAGACAGAAGTACTCTTGTCGTCACCTTGACACAGCATCTGTAAAATCATGCAAATGGCCAAGTCCATCACATTTCGTACCTAAAGTGGTAGAACCAAAGCTACATTAACATGACCCCCATGACTATGAAGCTTTAGTTTGCTTCATTTGTGTTCATTTTTTTCTATGTCTGCGTCCAAAAGTGGATGTTCCTGCCTGAACCATCAGTCAAGGCATGCCCAACAGCCGAGAACCAGTCCTGGACAGCGGCCACTCCAGCAACATCCCTGGACGTCAATTGCCCTGGTGAAGCGTGAACACTTTCAAGTTGAACATGTTGCTCCAGTCCTGTGTGACTCCTCCTTCATCTTGACCATCTTCTCCTACATTTACAAAAAGATAGTGATGAAGCAACATGAAGGGTAGAACAAACACGAGCAAACACGAGCATCGTAAAAAGTTCTTTGTTCCAAAAAACCTCTTGTCCGAGCAAATACAAGCAAGTCCCAAAGAGCCTGCATATCGGACACTCAGAGTCGGGGCCAAGAATTCAAATCGCGGCGCCTGCGCACTCAGTGCATCCCTCACAAAATCAAGAAAACCTGAACAAAAACAAATGAAAAACACGTGCAAGGGTTTCACACATCCAAAAAATGTCAACATGCGAAGTCGCTGCCGGATTTGCGCCTCTTGGAGGATCTGATAACTTTCCTCCAGCACATGGCTCCGCGAGACCCGAATTTCAAAGCAATCAGGCAGCATCTCCTGATGAAAGGTTCAACTTCTGCAACCAGCATTTTTTTTTAACAAACTAAAACTCTCAGAAGAAGAAATGTGCTAAGAGTGTCAATTGCCTTGTAGTTGCTTAGTTGATTTCAAAAGTTTGCAGAAACAAACATCACAAGCTCCAGCGCCAAAAACAAGAGAACCACTTGCATCCCTTGCAGTCCGAACAGATCTGTCCTCTGGAAAGTCGTTTTCCTCCTCTTCCAGTAGGCTTCGTCGTGCTTCCAGCAATAAAAGATGCTTCTCTCGGAAAGTTTCCTCAGGCCATACTTGCTTCGCAGTGAGTCCATGCTACATACATATCTGAGTATCCCTCCTGCGGCAAGCAATATCGCTTCATATGTATGTGAATAAATTGCTGTTCGAAGGAATTTTAGAAGTCAAACTTCCGACAATATGGACAGATGAAAAGCAGAGATGGGAAGAGTCAGAGAAGAGAAGAGAAGAAAGAAGATCAAAAAAGAGAAAGTCTCAGAAGAAAGAAGATCCAGGCGCGCGAAAAGGTAAGAAAGTCGCGAAACACTGTGTTTTTCCAATGATTTGTGGCTCCGGAGGGTCGAAAAGTAGGCTCGCTAAAGCGGTGGGTGCTGAGCCAGCTGGCCAGATGAGAGATGAAAAATTGCACGCCGTTGTGGTGCAAAGCACATTTCCAATTCAAACTGTACAAAACACACCAGGTTCGGACCGCTTTTGGAAGTAGATGAGATAGATGAGATAGATGAGATAGATGAGATAGATGAGATAGATGAGATAGATGAGATAGGATAGATAGGATAGATAGGATAGATAGGATAGATAGGATAGATAGGATAAATAGGATAGATAGGATAGATAGGATAGATAGGACAGATAGGATAGATAGATAAGAAAGAAAGAAAGAAAGAAAGACAGAAAGATAGATAGATAGACAAATAAGAAAGAAAGAAAGAAAGATAGATAGATAGATAGAGAGAGAGAGATAGATAGATAGATAGATAAACAGAAAGACAAATAGAGAAACAGAAAGACAACTTTAAATAGAGAAACAGAAAGACAAATAGAGAAACAGAAAGACAAATAGAGAAACAGAAAGACAAATAGAGAAACAGAAGCACAAATAGAGAAACAGATAGATAGATAGATAGATAGATAGATAGATAGGTAGATAGGTAGGTAGATAGGTAGATAGGTAGATAGGTAGATAGGTAGATAGGTAGATAGGTAGATAGGTAGATAGATGGATAGAAACGATTAGATAGATAGATAGATAGACAGATAGATAGACAGATAGATAGATAGATAGGAAAAATTAGATAGATAGATAGATAGATAGGAAAAATTAGATAGATAGATAGATAGATTGATAGATAGATAGATAGATAGTTAGATAGATAGATAAGAGGAGAGATAGGATGGATAGGATAGATTAGATGGGATAGATAGGATAGATAGGATAGATTAGATAGATTAGATAGATTAGATAGATGAGATAGATTAGATAGATTAGATAGATTAGATAGATGAGATAAATTAGATAGATAGATAGATGGATAGAAAGAAAGAAAGAAAGAAAGAAAGAAAGATAGATAGATAGATAAGAAAGAAAGAAAGAAAGAAAGATAGATAGATAGATAGATAAATAGATAGATAGATAGATAGATAGAGAGATAGATAGATAGATAGATAGACAGACAGACAGATAGATAGATAAACAGAAAGACAAATAGAGAAACAGATAGATAGATAGATAGATAGATAGATAGATAGGTAGATAGATAGATAGATAGATAGATGAACAGATTGGTAGATAGATAGATAGATGAACAGAAAGACAAATATATAAACATATATTTGGACAGATAGATTGATAGACAACTGCAACTGCACTACACCACACTACAAGTACAACTTCAACTACAACTACAGCTACACTACCACTACAACTACACTTCAACTACAAGAACTACAGCTACAACCACAACTACAACTTCAACTGCAATTCAACTACAACTACAGCCTCAACTACAATTACTACAACTACCATTACAAGTGCCACTGCGACTACCACTACAACTACAACTGCAACAACTACTACAACTACACTACAACTGCAACTACAGCTGCATCTACAACTACAACCTCAGCTACAGTACAATTACACTTCAATTGCAACTTCAGCTTCAAATACACTATTACAACAACAATTACCACGACACCACACTACAACTACAAATACAAATACACTACAGCGACAGTTACAACTACAACTGCAACTCCTACAGCTATTGCAACTACTACAATTACTACAATTAAGACAATTACAATTTCAACTACACTTCAGCTACACCACAACTACAACCACAACTACTACTACAACATTACGACTTTAACAACATCAACCCCACTACAACTACAACTACAACTACAACTACCACTACTGCGCTACACCACGCTACATCCAGGAGTTGTGAGTGAGGTGACCACTGCAACCATTGCAGCATCACAACAACTCACCTCTCCTATAGTGTCCAATCCTTGAAACTTCCGCCTGTGCGGTACTAATGGTACTATCTATGTATATATAATATACATATATATAATATAATATAATATATATATAGTATATATATAATATATATAATATATATATATAATATAATATAATATAATATAATATAATATAATATATATTATATTAAATATAACATGATTATTGTAGATACATCTGAGAAGGGGGGGACGAAAGCCAGCTTTTACACTTTACACTCCTCACTCCTCACAGCACACTTTACACGCCACACTCCACACTTTACACTCCACACTCTACACTTTACATTCTACACTCTACACTCCACACTTTACACTTTACACTTTACACTCCAAACTCCACACTTTACACTCCACACTCCACACTCTACACTCTACGCTCCACAGTCGACACTTTACACACTACACTTTACACTCTACACTTTCAGTCTCCAGTCCAGACTTTACACTCTACACTTTACACTCCTCACTCCTCACTGCACACTTTACACTCCAAACTCCACACTCTACACTTTACACTCTACACTTTACACTCGACACTCTACACTCTACACTCCACACTTTCCACTTTACACTTGACACTCCACTCTCCACACTCCACACTTTACACTCCACACTCTACAGTTGACACTCCAAACTCCACACTCTACACTTTAAAAACGACACTTTGCACTCTACACTCTTCACTCTCCACTCCATTCTTTACGCTTTACACTTTACACTCCTCACTCCTCGCTGCACACTTGACGCTCCACACTCCACACTCCACACTTTACACTCTACACTTTACACTTTACACTCTACATGTTACACTCTACACTCTACACTCCACACTTTACACTTTACACTGTACACTCCTCACTCCACACTCCACACTTTACACTCCACACTCTACACTTTAAACTCTACACTTGACACTCTACACTCTACACTCCACACCTGACACTTTACACTGTACACTTGACACTCGACACTCTACACTCCATACTTTACACTTTACACTTTACACTCCTCACTGCACACTTTACACTCCACACTCCACACTTTACACTCCACACTCTGCACTTGACACTCTACACTTTACACTCTACACTCTACACTACACTTTCCACTCCACACTCCACACTCTACACTTTACACTTGACATTTCTGTCAATTTCTACGGTTTTCTCCTACCCTTTTCCTGCCGTTCCTCCACATTCCTGGGTTTTCCCCCTCCGTGCCTGTAACCTCCCGTAACCTCCCATGACCTCCCGTGACCTCCCGTGACCTCCCCCCCGCCAGGATTTGGCTCAAAACGGCCATCGGCGGCCGCGGGAAATGGCAGAAATTCGCTCCCGTGACCTCCCGTGACCTCCCGGCTAGGATTTGGCCCAAAACGGCCGTTTCCCAATGATCCCAGAAGAGAAATTCAATAGCCGACCGAAAGGCCGCTAAATGGCAGAAAGTTGCTCCCATGCTTCCCCGTAACCTCGCGTAACCAAATGTAACCTCCCTCCCATACAGAGACCGACATAGACACAGACAGACACAAACACAGAAAAAAAGCTCTACACTCCACGCTTCACACTCTACACTTTACACTCTACACTCCACACTCCACACTTGACACTCCACACTCCACACTTCACACTCCACACTCTACACTTTACACTCCACACTCTACACTCTACACTCTACACTCCACAGTTTGCACTTTACACTTTACACTCCACACTCCACACTTTGCACTCCACACTCCACACTTTGCACTCCACACTCCACACTCTACACAGACCCTTTCACACACAGACGCCTTTACACACAGACGCTTTTTTCACACAGACCCTTTTACACACAAACATCTCTACACAGAAATGCTTTTACACAAAGACCCTTTTACACACAGACACTTTTACACACAGACCCTTTTACACACAGACCCTTTTACGCACACACACGCACACGCTTTTTCACACAGACCCTTTTACACACAGACGCTTTTACACACAAACACTTTTACACACAGACCCTTTTACACACAAACAACTTTACACAGAAACACTTTTACACAGAGACGCTTTTACACACCAATTCCTCACACAGAGACGCTTTTACACCGAGACGCTTTTACACACAGACCCTTTTACACTACACACAAACGCTTTTACACTCAGACGCTTTTACACACAGACGCTTTTACACACAGACCCTTTTACACACAGAAGCTTTACACACAGACCCTTTTACACACAAATATCTTTACACAGAAACACTTTTACACACAGGCGCTTTTACATACAAACATCTTCACACAGAGACGCTTTTACACACAGGCCCTTTTACACACAGACCCTTTTACGCACAGACACCTTTACACACAGACGCTTTTACACACAGACCCTTTTACACACAGACCCTTTCACACAGAGACGCCTTTACACACAGGCGCTTTTTTCACACAGACCCCTTTACACACAAACATCTTTACACAGAAATGCTTTTACACACAGACCCTTTTACACACAGACACTTTTACACACAGACCCTTTTACACACAGACCCTTTTCCCCCTTCTTTCGTCTTCCGCGAGAAAAATTTGAGCCCCAAGCAGCTCAGCCATTCCACGGGTCTTTTTGATTACAGTGCCTCATCGTTCAAGCCAAACAGCTTTACACAGAAACACTTTTACACACGAAGTCTCAACACAGAGACGCTTTTACAGCGAGACGCTGTGACACACAGAGCCTGTAACACGACACACAAACGCTTTACACACAGACGCTTTTACACACAGAAGCTTGTACACACAGACTCTTTTACACACCAGTATATCTACAGAGAAACACTTTTACACACAGACGCTTGTACAGACTAACATCTTCACACAGAGATTTTTTCTTTGCGCTTTATGCTCTGTGTGTTGCATCTGAGAGCTGTGCACCACAGAGAGCAATTTTTCGCTGCTGGCCGCTTCACCACAGCAACCAATCCGGCTGTTGCGGCTTGGAGGGTTATCCCAGAAATATTACATGGCGAATCTTCGCAACTTTGTTGTTTCAAGGTGGTAGGAGATAGTTTTTAGACGTTCCATGCATGGCAAAAAAATGAAGGATCAAACGACCCAACCAAGGGTTGACCCAGGTTCAGCAAGCATTCGCAAAGACCTTCTACAATACAACAATCGAGTGTTGGCGATATAGACACTTTTACACACAAACCCTGGTACGCACACACATGTTTTTCACACTGACCCTTTTACACACAGACGCTTTTACACACAAACACTTTTACACACAGACCCTTTTACACACAAACATATTTTGACAGAGACGATACAGGCATTTTGAAAGCAAAAAAACGATCATTTTTAAAGCCCAAAAATCGTCAATTCGCTGGTGTTTCCGTGTTTTTTGAAGAGTCTCGGAGCAAAAAAAACCGTAAAAATCGTGTTTTTTGACGCCTCGCAAGCCCAAAACCACGGTATTTACGGTGTTTTTTGCTCCTGGTACCAAAAACCACGGTATTTGCAGTGTTTTGTGGCCGGCACCTTGCAAAAACAGTGGTATTTACGCAGTTTTCAGCATGTTGCAAGAAGTACTTTTTCCATGCCAAAAGCCCAGAAACACTGTAAATTACAGTGTTTTGGCTTTTGACACCCGATGAAAAACGTCAGAAAAACGTCAGAAAACAACCAAAAGTGTCCAAAATGGAGCTTCTCTTTCAACCTTCAAAAACGAGGGAAGTGGGGCCTCGTCTTTTTGAGCTCTCCCCAGGCAGGCTGCGGCCTCACCTTCCCAAAACGCAGCCAAATCAGAGCCTCCCCCCCCCCACACCCCCCAGACTAGCTTCGCTTCGCTTCGCTTATACCTATACTCAGCCCAGGCCTTCGGCTGGCTTTCGTAATCATGTAATTAGTCATAAAGGTCATATAATCACATAGTTTCAAACATATCATCTGTTCAAAATCTGAGGGAACCGGAGCCCTGCAGTTTCGCCCAGACGCCATCTGTTCTTCCGAGAGCGTTCGCTGGAGGAATTGCCCTGAGAAGGTTCGTCGCATCGGCCGAGGAGCCCCATCACCTTGGCACTGGGCCACGGCCGAGATCAAATTCATTTCTCTCAGTTCGAATCAGTTCGAATCAGCCTCTCCATCCATCATTTCGAACCAATTCGAATCATTTCGAATCATTTCCATTCAATCCACATGTCCCAAACTGTGCTGCCACACTCAAAAAGGAGCTCTCCCTTCTGCGACGAAAGGTGGCTTCTTTGAAGGTGGCGTGGAAGGGGCTCTGCAAAGCACTTTGCAAACGGCTCCGCAGCGTTTGCTTTGCCACAAAGCGCTCCAACCTGCCACTGCCACAGAACTCTCCGCCCAATCCAATTAGAAAATTTGTGTAGAGAAAGACAATGCTCTAACTTTAACTGATTGATGAAATGGTTTCAACTTGAGGTTCAACAAGTTCATTCTGCACGATACCCTTTAGCTAGTAACACAGCTAGGCCCAACTGGTGTCTGATTAAACAATGCAAACGACTTGTGAACCTGCCTCAATCCAACGAAGGAGTACCCCACACTGGCCACCCAAAGCAGAAAAACCACTGCTGCAAAGTAGTCCACGAACCGGCCTGGCGCACTCCACTGCATCAAATTACATGAAAGGTCCATCCATTTTGCATTTGAAGAGTTTTGAAGATATTTCAAGAATTTTGAAATATTTGGCACTAGAAATAGACATTGAATGGATCCAACGTTGCCGGTTTATCCGGTTTAGTTTTGTAAGTTTTCTGGTACACACTGAGAGACGATCGATACTCGGCTTCGAACCTTGATGTGCCGGTTCCCAGTGGTGCCATGGGAGGATGGACTTCCATGAGCTCAGAGAGCAGAGAAGAAACTCCTGGAAAGTGGTGAAGATGAAGGACTGAGAAAGTACATACAAGCATACATAATATATCATAATATATCATAATAATTCATAATATATCATATATCTATAATATATCTATGCATAGTATCAATATCACTATCGAATGATATAGAATGATACGTATAGATATGATATAAATATATAGACTCTTAGACATGCAAACACATCCACCGCATATGCGCCTCACACCCACTGTTAGACAATCCTTGAAGCCGCACAGCATCTCAGACACCAACTGCAGAGTTTGCATCACCCAAAACAAGGCGCCAAAGAAAAGACCCGGGTTCAGCCTCAGACTCAACAGACTCAACAGAATCGAAGACTCGCACGACTTGGATCGGGGAATCGGATGGAATAGAAGCAATGAAAAGCAATGTACACCCAAAACGCCAAACGTTCTGCCAATAGTCCAAAGCCAAGTAGGATCAGATCAAGCCATGTGCTGCAGGTGACACATCGTTGCCTCTTGTCCTGTGCAAACTAATCAAACTATATCAAGAAATCTCAAGAATCACCAGCTCTTTTTGGACTTCTCACATGTTCTCACTGGTTTTGTTCCTGGTCGGACCAACTAAGTTTCTTCAAGCTACTCCACTCCGGACATGAGCAGCACGAGAAAGGCTGGTCCAATGAGCAAGATCCGTGGAACTGGTAGCAGAACCAAAGCCTTTCGACAGCACAAAGATTCAGCGACATTCTGCCCGTGTCGCATTTCTGCCCATTTCTGTACATTTGGACATGTTTTTAGACATGTTTAGACTTTAGACCATCATTTTGCAATCGCACTGGTGACACAGCTGAACTGTCAATGCAGAGCTCTGCGTAGGACTGAGGCGCTAACTATGACAAGGATGGCTGCCGACAGGGAGAACAGATCGTCAGAAAGGTTCGCAACAAGAACTGAGCACACAAGTGCTACAAGAGTGCTACACAGCAAGAAGTTTGAAACAGTTCTTGGAAAGCTGCTCCACAATCTTTTGCATTGCAACGGAAACAGCAGTAGCAAAACTTTTCCAAGACTTTCACTGTCCAAAAGATACGAAGCCTAGATTCAAAAAGCATTTGAAAGGGATTCAACAAGATTCAACAAGCATCTGGAGCAGGTTGCAGATTCTGTGCCTCCCCAACGTTGCAGCTGCCCAATTTGTGCAACTCGTACGACAAAAAGGGTTGTGAGCAGGCCTTAGAATTCACTGAGGGAAGAAGGGAACCATGGGCGAAGTTTTGTGGATCCTTGAACTCTTCAGCCCTTCAGACTGTTTCTTTTGGAGTGAACAGCATGTAGAAACATAAATGCTCCCAGAAAATCACAAGTACAGATATGTAAGAGTTGTAAAGAATGCTTCAAGAATTCCGGGAGAACTGTCCGCGGCAAAGAGCATCAACGAGCATCAACGAGCATCAACAAGCAGCCAAGGGGCCCATGGAATTCTTCCGCCCCAGACGCATCCGACGCCAAAGTTTGGTGAAGAGCGCTGTTCCCGCAGCCAGGCGGGCACAGTCGCCACAGACCATGGCTGGATCGACGCAGCTGTGCGCAGCTGTGCGCCGTGCACCGCGCAGTGCGCAGACAATGGACCGTTCCAAAGGAACTAAACCCTGAAATCATGTGGAACCGTGGAACCTGAAACTTTGTGATGCGAATTGGGTGGGGACTGCAATGGCAGGAGATTACAACTAAAAAAATAAACTTCTGCCCCAAACACAACCACCAACCCTCCTGCTACCTGAGAAAAGCCAAAAGCAGCAGCAACGCAATTAGGAAACTGAAAGGACATCTTCAATGTCTTTTGGTAACTGCAAAGCTTTCAATTGCGATGTATTTCAAGTTGGGTCCGCATGGTATGCCTCAACGGGCCCAAGGCCCTGCCGCACCTTGGTGGTGGGGTTCAAGTCCGTGGCCTTTGAGAACTTCGGTTTCTTCAGCACAGGAGGCGGAGTGCTCTTCCTCGTGACCAGAAAGGCCAGAATCAGATCGTGGGAAGAAAATATCAATAAAACAAGAATAGAAGAATATAATATAAAACAACCTGGAGTGATCAGAGTGATCTAATGATATTTAATGCATCTGCCAAAGCATCCGCCAATTTTGCCAAGAAGCTGCACGATCTCCATGAAGGAAGGCTTCAAAGATGCACCTGCGACATGCTTGCGACTTGATTCAATGCTAAAAACATCCGGCGTTTTCCTCGGCGCCTCCCACCAGAAAGCCGTCAATGTTGGGCTTCTTGATCAGATCCGCGCCTTGGTCTTGGTGGGACATGTGTCTCACCAAGTGGATCCGGATCCAGTTGTCAGAGTTATCTTAAAATATCTTAAATTGGTGTTGAAATAGTTGAAATGGTGCACTGAGACTGTGTCAGTTGTCCAGAGACACGCTGCCGCCGTACTGAATCCTCACCTGAACATCTTCCACAGGGGTTGATGCTGTTCTTATCAGTGCCTTCTAAGATGCTGGACGTTTTCAGGACTTCAAAGTTGCCACAAAACAGTTTGAAGTGCGTCTTCATCTGAACAGCATGTCATATTTCAAGTTATATTTTTGAAAGGGTTCCAACGTGGGAACTCATATCCCAATAATTCCCAATATATGATACTTATTGTGACCAATTGTGACCAATTATGACCAATTATGACCAATTATGACCAATTATGACCATCTTGGGAAGATGATGAACCGATTAAGCAATGGATCAGGTTTTCAACCGGTGCCTTCTCTGCGACCTCTTCGCTGACGGCCTTGGCCATGAAGGCCCGGATTGCCGCATGGGTCTCCTCGGCCTCGCCATGCGATGCGGTTGAAAAGCTTCGGTGAAATCGAAATTTGTCAAAAATCGAACAGATTGAAAAATGATTGAAAAATGATTGAAAAATAATAACAATATTGAAATCATTTGAAATCATTTAAAATCCAAAAGTTAAAGGTTTCAACTGAAATCAACATGAACATGAGGAAAATTAGGGACGTTGCAAAAGTGAGGAAGGTGTTAGCAGAAAGCAGTAGGGGCAATTCCACAAAAATGGAAGGGCTTTTGAAATAGTCTGAGTTGTGCCGACCTGTTAGCTTGCGCCTCTATCTACAGCACCTTTCAGAAACAATGACTATCAATGACTATCACTGACTCGTGTCAACTGTTCACCACTGTTCACCAACACTTGTTCACAATGTTCACACATGAGTCATATGGGAGTTGAGTGGAGTTGACGCTGATGCTTCCAGCCTGATCAGGAGTGGCAACCTTTCCTGTGCCAATTGCCCAGACAGGTTCGTAGGCAATGACAACCTTGCTCCAGTCCTGCTGCGCACTAAGAAATGGACGCAAACAGCTGAAAGATCTGAAAGACTGTAAAGCAAGAGGGATTTATTCTGATATGCTGTCAGAATCACTGAATTGGATATATATATATAATATGTATATAATATACATATATATGTGTGTGTGTGTTATACTGTTCTCTTTCTGCCGGTTTGACTTGAACTGCTTGACTTCTCTCTCGCCTCTGGCTTCAACTTCTTGATCACCGGATTCAGCATCCGCTCGTTCACCTCGTTGGTCTTGCCGGCCTCCGACCAACTCAATCTGTGCAGTCTGAGAGAGTCCGAGAGAGTCCGTGTGTTGTGAACTTTTGGTTAAATTTCGGTTAAACCAGGTTAGACCAGGTCAAAAGTCAACACAAAATCTCAGTCTGTGTCTCCAATACTATGTCCTTCGCAAGTCGCACCTCCCTCTCTTCCAGCAGCTCCCCAATGGCCAAAACAACCTATCGGCTGTGAAGTGGTATGGTCCAGACTTGTGGCTGCTTCATCGATCTTAAGCTCTTTAAACGGATGGAATCAAAACCAGCGGTCCGAACGCGTCTCATGGTTTTCACTGCACACCTTGAGTCCAGCTGCAAGAGCTTGGGACACCTTCTCGGCAACATCCTCCACACATCTCCACACCGTCTAGACATTGGTGATTGTTTCTTACCACTCGAGAATGCGATGCAGAAGAATGACATAGAAGATGGCCGAAAGGATAGCAGATATACAAGTGCCATACCCGTCGACCCCTCTGCACCTCATTGTGAGGAAGATACCTTATTCAATCTTTCCCATGCCCAGCCATGCCCGGCCATGCCCTCCCTTACTTGATCTTTCTCCCAGACCCTGCTTTCACCCAAAAGCGCCAATTCAAGTCCTCGTCGGTCTCACCGTACTTCGAGCGACGCTCAGAGTGGCCCAGCAAAGTCCACCTGTGCAACAAATTTCAAACGTGAATTTTGATGCCTTTGTAATCCTTTGTATATACCAAGGTGCACCAAGTACAAGAAACTTTTGAGTTTCGTACTATTTTCAGATCTCGCGGCGTTTCAAACTTTCAACGCCGTTGCACGCCAGTTGCACGCCAATTGCGCGCCAAGGGACTGGACTCGAGCGTCCTTGAGCTGTGCGGCACTGACCTCACCGGTGAAGGCACCTTCTCCTGTCTTGCTGCCTAGGCGTGAGATCGAGTCAGACAGAACTCCCAACATGTCGGCAAACTATGGCAAACTTGCCAAGTGAGTTTATGTGGATGTGGTCTATGCTCTATGTGCTATGCGTGTCTTCTATATACAATTCTACGCAATTTCTTATACAACTGCCCAAAACCCAAATGAGCCTATGATTTTCCCTTATATTTCACTCTATCTTGCGTCTCAAGTAGCACACATCACATCATCATATCACTCTCCAATTCTCAGCTGATCCGAGCTCGATGGGCTGCTCGAGGCTCGGCTCGGGGTCCCGACAGTTCTGGGCACAGGCAGAGATGCCCAGCTTCTCCATGGGCAGCTTCACCTTCAGCAGGTGAGGCCTCGACTCGCCACGGGGACCCAAGGAGGGGAACCAGGAATTTCCCAGGAACAGGAATTTCCCGGAAATTTCCCAGGGATCCTGACAAATCCTGAGGGATCCTGAGGCCCCGGGCATCATTGGGCATGCAAAAACATCGATCTTCCTCTTGTCGAATGGAACCTGCTAAACAGGAAGCACTGTCAGACACTGTCAGATGTCCATAGATTCGACATCATTGGACAATCCCCAACAATGATTCAACAATTCCCAACAGCTCATGGGGCCTGGTTCTTCCAATCCCCGATGAGCTTGAGGGCCTCCTCAAGCGTCTTGGGGTTGCACTTCCTTGGTTTCCAGATACAAATTCAAACCGTTTCGAAGTTCAAACATGTTCGCTGCAACCCTGACGTTGCGCCGCGTCTGACTTCAGGTGGCTATGAAGATAAAGTTGATGTTATTACCCCAATCAAGATATTGTTCATAGGGGGTGGCGAATTTTGATCCCTCATGGAGATATAGTTGATGTTATTACCCCAATCAACATGTTGTTCAGAAGGGCTGGCGAATTTTGATCCCTTATGAAGATAAAGTTGATGTTATTACCCCAATCAACATATTGTTCATAGGGGTGGCGAATTTTGATCCCTCATTGAAGATAAAGTTTATGTTTTTACCCCAATCAACATATTGTTCATGGGGGGTGGCGGATTTTGACCCCTCATGAAGATAAAGTTGATGTTATTACCCCAATCAACATATTGTTCAGAGGGGGTGGCGAACCCTGACCCCTCATGAAAATAAAGTTGATTTACCCCAGTCAACATATTGTTCAGAGGGGGTGACGAATTTTAATGTGATGATGGTCATGATGTGATGATGATGGTGATGGTGATGGTGATGGTGGTGATGATGATGATGATGATGACGATGACGATGACGATGATCATGACGATTGTAAGTGTGGAGCAACGTCCGGGTTGGGGCGAACATGTTCAAACCAATAGAGGACGCCTACATCAGAAAATTCGGAAATGTTGGAAACCTAACAGACCTCAAAAACCTCATATCGCCCATCAACACAGCAGACCTAGAAGTGAACGTTCTTGACTTTATGACTTATGAGTCTTATGAGGGTCATGAAAACGACCCAGGGAACTCTTCAGGAGGGAAAGTCCAAGGCACCAGTTTCCACCGACAATTGGCTTCCGCGGCATGGCTCAGATAGGGAGAGCACTACGTGCAAGGCAGAGACTGCGGGGCTTTGATGGCTCTCAAACTCGCGGGCTGAGCCAAAAGCCCCCACACCAAGACAGTATGATGGAAGGATGATTCCATGAATCCAAGAACTTCCAAGTTTCAGACTCTTTCAGACTCTTTCATGAGAGATTTTTGAAATACTATATGCAAAGGGTTACTTATTTGAAGATCCAAAGCCATGGAACACATCTCACGGCCAAGGAAATTTCAGGGGGTGTTACAAATTCCCTTGGATCGAGTATCAAAAACGTGATCGTGATACCTCTTCTTGCTGCTGCAAACGCAATGCAAAATCTTCTAGATCTTGTTCTCTTTCCTCCTATCACCAAGTCGTGTTTCATCCAGCAAACAATATATAGCGGTTCATTGATGTTCATTGGACATCATCGCAGATAATGACAAGTCAATTTGCATCGCAACAGAACCGAAAAAAAATAAATTCCATGTGTTCCATTTTGTACAAGACAGCCATCTTGCAAAATCTCCTGAGCCTGACAA